ATTGTTCAGAAAACAAAAGGCAAATTCCACAGAAAGAGTCAAACAAGAATACAGAATTCAGTTTTAGGGCTTGACTCGCCATGCTGAACTGTAATAATGTTAACGTGGAGAGGTGCATGTTAACGCTGGAAGCGCCGTCTTCCAGGAAAACCAACAGCAGGTCCAGGGCCTGCCAAAATAGCCACCTCCCTCAGCTGAGTCCTGGACTCCACTAAGTGATACTGCCTTTGGTTGGTAAAGGGAATCTGTTTTTTCACCCTGGTTAAAGCAACACTCAAGAGATACTTCTCTTCATTGAAATAAACAAAGACATATCTTCTCCTGGTGTGGTTGCCACGAATAAGATAAAAGTTTCTTAATTTTCTGGGAGATCCCTTACAATGGGGTTGGATTGTCTTCTCTTGAAAGAACTGATTGTCTTTGATAAGGATGAAACAAAGGATTTATGACTAGGACACTCTCTCTTTGGCATTGTCTTCTATTCAGAGGAAAAGTGGTAATGGTTTTTTTTTCCCCTCCATTCAGGAGAAAATAAAGGCTTTTGATTAGGACACTGACATAGTATATCTTAATATTTTAAAAGAAATTTTAAAATAAACTTTAAAAGAATTAAAAGAAATATCATATCTTAGTATTTTAAAAGGAATTAGAGGGGCAGCCAGGTGGCACAGTGGATAGAGCACTGGCCCTGGAGTCAGGAGGACCTGAGTTCAAATCTGGCCTCAGACACATAACACTTTCTAGTTGTGTGACTCTGGGCAAGTCACTTAATCCCGATTGCCTTGCCAAAAATAAAATAAAACAAATTGAAAAAAGAAGTGGAGGCCACAGTGAGTATGCTTTCATACCAGCTATAGGTTATATTATGGGATGCTTCTTCAGGGACTGGATATAAAGCCTGTTAGGGATGTTAATGGGAAGTTCCTGAAATAGGTGGGAGGTTAGATCAGGTGATCTCAGAGGTCCTGTCCAGCCTGGATTCTCGGACTTTCCTACCCAGACTAGAAGCTTTGGCCACACCTGATGCAAGTAGTGGAACTTATTTTCTATTCTTTTTTTTTTTTAAATTAATTGATTGGGGAAATTATAGAAGCACTTTAACCTTTCCCTATTGTGGCTTGGGAAGCAAGAATTGGTCCATTGTAACAGATAGCTGACTTTAAGTATTTAAAAAAATATTTAGTAGTATTTTATTTTCCCCCAATTACATGTAAAGACAATTTTCAACATTCGATTTTTGAAAGATTTTTGAGTTCCCAATTTTTCTTCCTCCCTTCCCTCCCCCCTTCTCAAGATGGCAAGCAACCTGATGTAGGTTATACATGTGCAATCGTGTAAAACATTTCCATATTAATCGTGTTGTGAAAGAAGAAACAGTACAAAAGGAAAAAAATGAAAAAAACCCCAAAAGTAAAAATGTTATGCCTTGATCTGCATTCAGACTCCAGTGTTGGAAGGACTAGCAGATGGAAGATGGATTAGTTTTACTCTACCTGGCCATGGAGGTGGGAGGGCAGAACCATAAGCCACGTGCTAAAGCTCCAGAGAGGCAGGTTTCAGCTCTGTGTAAGGAAAACCATTGGTGCTGTCCAAGAGATGAATGGGTTGCCTCGAAAGCAGGGAGTTGTCCAGGTGGGAGGGTCATCCAGGTGGGAAGGCTGGATCAATAATCAGTCAGTCGATAAACATTTGTTAAGCACTGACTGTGTAACCAGGCACTGGGCTAAGTGCTAGATGACCATTTGCCAGGAAGTATCCTAGAGGGGTTTACCTGTTGCAAGCATGGATGGACTTCCCTCAGGTTTTGTTTTTTAATTTTTAATCTGTCAATTGGATCATCTGACTGCTGTCACTTTTACCTCTGAGATTTTTTTTCAATCTAGGATTTTATGTTTGGGACCCTTCTTGGGCTACCCTTCCTTGGTGACCTGGAATTTGTGGGTTTCTCTGGAGGTAGGAGGGATGGGGAGGAAGCGACCCCACGATGCCTCTGAGTTGGGAATTTGAAGGCTCTCGGGCTCCCTTGAAGAGTCTATGTGATGCTTCCTTTTTAATACTTGTTTTGGCTGAATGCCGTCCTCCGGAGAAGATTGTCTCTCAGGTGGGGGAGGTGGGGGAGGGTCGACCATCTGCTCCTTTGCTCCGGGGAGGCCCACACAACATCCTCATTTGGAGCTTTCTGGAATACAAAGACATACAGGCTGAGAATAGCTTTGCTCCTGGGGAGGGCTGTGCCACCTTGTTGGGGGGGGGTGGATCCTGCTGTATATGTAGAAATATTGAATATGGGCATCACTGACTGATGGTTTCAGGGACACTCCCCAGCGGCTGTTCTTAAATCCACCCTTCCCTGGTTCATTCTCTCTCTCTCTCTCTCTCTCTCTCTCTCTCTCTCTCTCTCTCTCTCTCTCTCTCTCTCTCTCTCTCTCTCTCTCTCTCTCTCTCTCCCCCCCCCCCTCACCTGCCTCACTTCACTCCCTCCCTCCTCTCATCTCACTCCCTTCTGGTACAGATGCGCCCCAATCAGCTTTCCATCATTAGAGTGAATTAGGTCTTCCAAACATTGTCAAGGCCTCATCCGATTACTGCCAGTAACAGATGCACTATTGTTGGCTTTCTTGTTATGGTTTCTTCTATTCCTTCCATCCTCCCTCAGTGATGGAGATGAGTTGTGGAGGAGGAGGGGGTTAGAGTTTGGGGAGATGGCAGCCTTTGCTAGAAATCTGGCCTCAGGGTTGGATGTAATTAGACCAAATGGCCAAGTCGATTTCTCCAGGGAATGCTGGGGAGGTATGCTGAGGCAGTTGGTTGGTTACGTTTCCATTCAACCTTTATGAAGGGCTCACTGTGTGTAAGACTTTATGTTAAATTCAACCTGTGATGCTTCAAGGGGTCGAAGAGCTGACTCTGGGTCCTCAAGGGCTCTACCAGCAAGAATACAAGCCCTGGCTGTAAAGTCTTTGAGTATGGGGTGTTAGCACAGGTAGGGAGGCGGAGCAATTGAGCTGTGATGGCAAAGAGGCAACTGTGACCCTAATAAATGATTGAAGGAAGAAGCATTTATTAAGAGCTATATGCCAGGCACGATGCTAAGAATTGAGGATGCAAAAATACAAAAGGGGGACAGATCTTGCCCTTAAGCAGCTTACATCCTAAAAAGGGGAAACCACATTTGTAAGGGACTGCTGGCTAGGAAAGAATGTTGTGGTCCTGGAAAAGTCATTGAATGGAATAGTAGGGCAGTCATGTGAACTCATGAGAGCATGAACCTCTTTTCCACCCTAACACTGCCAATAAACAACTAATTAAAAGCCAGGAGAGCCTAGACCTCTGAGCTGGTATTCCTCAAACAGGCTTACATGTTGTGGCATATGCTGATAAGAGGAAGAAGCAAGCAAGAGAGTTGAGTGAGGATTCATCTTAGCAGAGCCTGATTTCCTGAGTTGCTGTCTTTGTGTCTCTATGATTTCTTTGACTTTTAGATCATATGGAAAGAACACTGGATTTGGAGACAGAGGATCTGGGTTCAAATTCAGCATTTTTATTTATTAAACTGTGTGAGACCTTGGGCAAATCCCTTCTCTCTTGGCCTCAGTTTCCTCCTCTGGAAAATGAGTGGGTTGATTTGGATGATGTCTGGGATCCTCTACAGGACTATCAAATTACCTCATATGAAACATTTGCTGACTTTGTTAGAAAGTTCAAAACATGCTTTGGAATCCTGTGTAGTCTTTATCATCTTTACACCAGCAGAGGGCAGCACATGCCCTAAGAGAAGTTAATACAGTAGTATGGAGGCCGTGACCTGGATTACGATTAAGGATTCTTAAAATGTCTGTTTCTGACTCCTTCCTGGGGAAGGACAGAATGGGCTTTGATAATAACCATCTTTCTTGCAGGAAGGAGTGGCAGATCTCATGCATAGAGGGTCATGAAAGGCCCAGGTCCCATTCTGTGCTGTAGCACACTGCCCTCACCATAGTCAGAGAGATACAGAGAGCCAGGCTCTGGCCAACTTGTGTCTTAATTGCTCATTGCTCACTAGGGGCCGAGGCTATAGAGATTATTAATTATAATGGGCAGTGTAAATGCTGTGGTCTATAGGTAGACAGCCATGATGATGTTTCTATCATCAGTGGTGGTTACTATGAATATAATGACTTTAAAAAAAGAAATAGGTTTTAATGATGGGAAATTTGGATAAGTCATAAGCTTATAGAATGTCAGAGCTGGGAGGGACTTTAGAACATAAGATGTCAGAGGTGGGAGGGTCCTTAGAACAAGGAATGTGAGAGCTGGAGGGGACCTTAGACTAGAGAATGTTAGAGCTGGGAGGGATTTTTAGAGACCATCTAGTCCAGGGGTGGGGATTTGTTCTGCAAGGTTTGGATTTAGTCAAAAGGCCACACTTGAGGAACTGGAGAGCCATATGTGGCCTCGAGGCTACCCCTGATTTTAGTCCAACCCCTACATTTTGTAAAGGAGGAAATAGGCTGTTTGGAAGAAATTTCTATTCTCTGGCTGCCAGAAATAATTTTTATTAATTTGAATTGAACAAATTCTAAACATTTCTGTTTAGAGAGAGATATCTTCAAGGCCACTGGGAATCTCTGCCCATATTTTTACCTCTCGTTCGAAGCAGAAATGTTTTTCATCTGTAGCGGGTAAATCACTTGTCTAAGGTGGCACAGTGAAATTTAATGGCAAGAGACTAGAACCCAGGTTTCTGCACTCATAATTCATTACAGGCCCTCTTTGGGCCTCAGTTTCCTTATCTGCAGAATGAGGGGGGTTGGATTAGATGATCTCTGAGGTCCTGTTCAACCCAGAAAGTCAATGAGTTTATCTGTTGGGTGAGAAGGTAGGTTAAGAGTCCATGTTGCTACAGATACCAGCTTATGACAGGAGAACCTAAGCTATCTGCATTCACTCATTCCATCAATCAGTCATTCAACAAACATTAATTAATTGCCTGCTCTGTTTCCTCTCTCTCCCCTCAGCTCAGGTCCTTGATCCACAGTCCAGTCCACTCCCCTCTCCTAGGCTTCTCTGCTGTCAGCACATCCCTCCCTCAGGGCTACCTCTGGGTAAGTGCCACCCTTTAACCTGTGCCCAGGTCACAGCAGGTTCCACTTTGACTTCAGGACAGCGAAGACAGGACTGGTCCCCTGGGTGAGAGTATTGAAGTATTTGGTCCTAGATTCCATTGGTGTTTCCAGAGCCTGGTTTCTGTCTTTAAAAGGTCAAGTTAGAAGGTGTCGGGGAGCAGGGTGAAGTATTAATTCTGTAGGTCTCGTGATCCCAATGAGGCTGAGGTCACCCAAGCAGTTACTTCACAAATGCATGTCTTTGGTCATATGGGGGATAGGGGAGATGGTGTCGGTGACTTAGGCCAGCCCATCCCTTCCACTGTAAATTTAACTAGGAATTCATGTCCTGCTGACAGTGACTCTGGAGCATATCCTCTTCACAGAGAAAGGTCAGATCTCTTTTAGGGCCACAGAATTGCTAGTTAGATGGGACCTCAGAGATATCCTTGGCTTCGAGTGATATTAGTTTGAGTAATGTCGGGCAAGACATCTAACTTATATGTGCCTCAGTATCTTCATCTGTAAAATGAGGGTGCCAGACAGAAAGATCTTTGAGGTCCCTTCCAGCTCAATCTATGATTCCATGATCCAGTGCCCTCATTTTACAGCAGAGGAAACTGAGTCCCAGAGAGGAGAAGCAACTGGTCTAAAGTTATAGTAAGTAAAAAACCAAGGATTTGAACTCACTTTTCCGAGGACCCTTCAGGCTAAATCCTCGACCTGAGAGAAAGATGAGATACCTTGTTTACTATTGCCTTTCCCACCCCAGAGCCCACGGGGGGAAGCTGGGGAAGGCTGTACTTGGGGAAATCAGCCCTTTGCCTCTGCTCTGTTTGCTCCATTCTGCTCTTGGCTCTAGCTCTGATCAGCCCTGTCTGTCTCTTTGTCCTTCCAGGTTGCCGGTGGGCAGGATGGTGCTGGTGGTCAGGTGGAGATCTTCTCATTGAATCGACCCACGCCTAGACTGGTCAAGTCCTTCCCTGTGGCCTCCCCAGTGCTTTGCATGGAATACATTCCGGAGAAGAATGAGGAGGAGGAGGGCCGAGAATCAGGCGGGGCAGCCCCCGACCCCTCATCTCTGGTACATCCAGCCGTCTGCCTCGGGCTTCAGGACGGGAGGTAAGGGGGCCTGGGGAGCTCCCACCTAATGGCCGATGAGTTAAATGAATGAAAGGATAAATGAAAGAAAAAGCATTTATTAGTTACTGTGTGCCAAGCATTGTGTAAGATCTGGAGATACAAATAGAAGCAATTAAGAGAGTGTCTGCTCCTGGGAGCTTACATTCTAACGGGAGAAGATACCATGTGAAAGGAAACAGGGAGGGGCAGCTAGGTGGTGCAATGGATAGAGCACTGGCCCTGAAGTCAGGAGGACCTGAGTTCAAATCTGACCTTGGACCAAGCACTTGACACTTACTAGCTGTGTGACCCTGGGCAAGTCACTTAACCCCAATTGCCTAAACAAAGAAAAAAGAAAAAAAAAAGAAAGGGAATGGGGGTCAGGGTCCTGTGGGGTTTTGGACAGGCAAGTAAAAGGGATCTGTGGAGACTGGAGTTCGTGTGTCGGAGCACCCTTTTTGGAAATGGCGATGTTGACTTGGTTACTGTTATCTCATGGTTGCATGTATCTATGTATCTCTTGGTCTGTTGTTTATCTGTCTCACTGTGATTCTCATGATTATCTCCTTCAAGTCACTGGAAAATAGTCCCGTGAGTCAGGGTGGGCGTTATCATCTCCTTTTTACAGATGAGGAAACTGAGGTCCATATTTTTTCAACTTCTAAGTGGCAAAACCTGGACACCCCTTCAGTTTTCCTGCCTCCAAGTTCAATGTGCTTTCTGGAAATTATGCTACAGCTGTGTCAGATCTGCCCAGACCCGAGTCTTAACCTGGGGTCCAGATTTCAATCTTCTGTGAACTTTTGTGGAGAAAAAAAATACATCTTTATTTTAATATGATTAGTTTCTTTTGTTAGTTTCTTCTTCTATGTTTTATTTTATGCACTTAAAAACCTTGTGAGAAGGGATATCCATAGGCTTCATCAGACACTGCCAGAGGGGTCCATGACACAGAAGAGACCATACTCTTTGGGTCAGGCTATGTGGGAAAAGGCAGGTTTCAAGGTGTGTTGGGGCTGAGGCTTCTCTTTGTCTCTCCCCAGCATCCTTGTGTATGGCAGTGTGGACACGGGGACCCAGTGCCTGGTCACCTGCAAGAGTCCGGGTCTGCAGCCCGTCTTGTGCCTCTGCTACAGCCCCCACTACCTCTTTGCTGGCCTGCAGGATGGGACCGTTGCTGCCTACCCCCAGAGCAGCGGTAAGGGAGATGGATGGATGGACCGGGAAGAGGGAGGGGCTTGTAAACATTCGGGGCGCCTTCTTACCTGCTTAGCGCCAAGTCACTCTGTTCTGCTCAGTGTGCTTTAGTTCAGTCCCATTTCATTCCATGCCAATCAAATGTGCAAGCCGTTATTAAATACCTACTATGTGCCCGTCATTGTGCTAGACATTAGAGAGTCAAGGCAAATAACAGAACAGTAAGAGCTCCTCAAGTTCCATTGAGGGGAGGGAACAACGTGGACAAAAGTGAGAAAATGCTACCTACAAACAAGGTGATTTCTGGGGAAAGGCAATATTAAATGGTGGGATCATGGTAGGCTTCCTGTGGAAGGTGGCTCTCTGACTGACTTTGATAGAAACAAGGGATTCTAAGAGAGAAGGGCGTGCAATCCAGGGATGGGGCATGGCCAGTATGAAGTGCCCCCTCCCCCCGCCTCTGCTCTGACATCCTGTGTTCTAAGGCCCTCCCAGCTCTGACATCCTGTGTTCTAAGGCCCTCCCAGCTCTGACATCCTGTGTTCTGAGGACCCTCCCACCTCTGACATTCTGTGTCTTAAGGGTCCTCCCAGCTCTGACATCCTTTGTTCTAAGTCCCCTCCCAGCTCTGACATTCTGTGTTCTAAGGGCCTTCTCAGCCCTAATATCCTGTGTTCTAAGTCCCCTCCCAGCTCTGACATCCTGTGTTCTAAGGCCCTCCCAGCTCTGACATTCTGGGTTCTAAGGGCCCTCCCAGCTCTGACATCCTGTGTTCTAAGGACTCCCAGCTCTAACAGTAGATGTTCAGTCATTCTGAGTTTTGTGCTGTGATTCAGTTGAGGATGGGATAGGATTATTTCTAAGGCCCCTTCTTAGAACCCTCGGGTTCTACCATATAACATTGTACCCAGAGCTATTGGGGCTGGGAGGGGAGGTGGGGATTGGAGGCAGAAATATTCCTGCCAGACATTATCCAGGGTAGCAGCTCCTGTCTTCTGTTATCAGGATTCTGGATTTCTTTTGGTTTCTCTCCCAGGCGTATGAAGGGAGATTTTGACTCAAGGGTTGGCAGGACTTTTTTTTTTTTTTAACAACCTGCTGCCTCCACAATCCTGAGCTCCTGTCACTGGGGCGTCCTCGGTAGCGGCAGGCTGACCAGCTGTCAGGCCCACCTTGGAAGGGATTGCTGTGTTAGGTAACGGGTCGTAATGGCGACTTGGAGGTCCTCACACTTCTCCGCATGGCCGACAGTGCCAGGAGGGAACCAAGTACTCGAGAGCAGAGCCTTGGTGTGCAGGATGATCAATTCTTCTGATGGGGAGGACGGTGGCCGTAGATCCTGGTGCCTTCCCTTTCTCCTCCGCTGCAGCTCTAATCGCTGTGTCATCCTGGCCTGCTGCAGGGTTATAAACGGATATTTGTACTGAGCTTTTTTTTTTTTGCCACTTGGCAGTATGTTGGTATTTTTAATTAGCTTTTGATAAGGCATTTATAGTTTTTAATTAAAGGGGGTAAGAGGGAGGGAAAAAAAAACTTCTCTCACCATCAGACAGAGCGTGCGTGTGAATGTAAATTTGTGCTTAGATCCTTAGAGATGTAGCCAACGATGCTCTAACTTTTCCGTTCCTAGTCTACCCTTGTCTCCTTATTGGACTTGGCACAATGGAAACCATGTCTTTTTTTCTCTATCTCCATGCCTGACCTTCAGCCCTTTGGACTAGACTTTTGGTCCTTTGTGACCTCTGTTACCTGACCCTTATCATTTGGCACTGAAAGGGTCCTAGGTTGGAAAGCAGGGATTTGTGGCTGGAATCTATCAGCTAAGCAGAGAGGAAGGGCTGCAGGGAAGGAGGTCAAAGTGTCCAGTTTGGGCTCTTGTGAGTGAGCTCTCCTTTCTTCCCATCTTCTTGCTCTGTATTTAGAAGAGATCTCCTTTGTTTTGGTCCAGAATTGGAAACCAGTCTATTCATCCCTTGTCTCTTTTCTCCTGAGGATGACTGACACTTGTGGAGCACCTGAAACTGGAAGGGGCCTTAGAACATAGAATATTGGAGCTGGGAGGGCCCTTAGAACATAGAATGTCAGAGCTGAAGGCCCTTAGAACACAGGATGTCAGGGGATAGGAGGAATCTTAGATTACAGAATATCAGAGCTGGGAGGGCCCTTAGAGCATAGAATGTCAGAGCTGGGAGGGCCCTTAGAATCCAGAATGTCAGAACTGAGGGGTGGAGGTATTAGAACACAAATTGTCAGAGCTGAGTGGAATTTAGAATATAGAGTATTGAAACTGTGAAGGCTCTTGAATATCAACTAAGTTCTCCACTTAAAAGAAACTGGGACTTGGAGAGAAGAAAACCTGTTTACGTTGTGGAAGACAAGCTTTCTGTTTTACCTTTCTTAGCTCTGCTGCTTCAGAGAGAGGTCAGGCCAGGTGCACTCTGAGTTTCTTTCTAAATTTGAAATTTTATAATGAGGTGGTGTGGCCTCCCTGGGGCATGTGCTGATCTTTTCTTTGGGGGATCATTCTGTACTTGTGTTGGTTGTGAGGGAGAGCAAAACTTTACCACGGCAAATACATGGAGTAAATACACTTTGTATCTATGTATCTTTGTGTCTATCTGTCAAATAACTTTAGTGGGCTGACAGTGTTTTAACCTAATTTAATCAGCCTACTGGGCCTTGCTTTCTAGGTAGTCAATGATTAAAAATAGCATTTCTTAGATTCCAGAGATAATGTCACTCACAATCACAGAACTATGTGATGTCAGAGCTGGGGGGGCCCTTAGAACAGAGAATGTCAGAGCTGGGAGGGCCATGAGAACACAGAATGTCAGAACTGTAATCGGTCTTAGAGCATATAATATCAGAGCTCAGTATGGCCTTTAGAATATAGAATGTTATAGCCAGGAAGGATCTTAGAACATAAGATGTCGGAGGTGGTACAGGCCTTACTGATTGTCTATTTCAACCCCCTATTTTTCAAATCAGGAAACTGAGATGTGAAAAATTGATATGATTTTCTTAAGGTCACATGTATATACAATAGAGGAACCGGGCCTTAAAATGCAGGCTCCTGACGCTGATGGGCAGAGGCTGCTCTTTCTTCTGCAGCAGCACAGTATGTTTTCCCCCCTCCCTCCAGAGCTCCCACCCAGCTCTCCCTTTCCGGATCAGATCAAGAGCCTGAGCACGCTGGACCTGCCTTCCCCCATCGGGGGTGGGACCCTCTCCAGCTGCAGCCCGTGGGAGGAGGAACTCCCACTTCCCCAATGAAGGTGCCTTTCCTGAGACAGGACCTTCATCTCCCTTAATCTGACAGTGCTGAGCAGCTGACAGGCTGGGCTGCGGCAGCTGGATGAATGGGCTGTCACGCTGTGTGTGAGCGCTGGCATCGAGGGGCAGCAAGGTGAACTAAAGAGGGGCCCTGCCCAATAGCGTGTCCTGATGCTCCTCGGATACCCCTCACAGCAATACACTCCTGTCTTCCCTCGGGAAATTGATAAGCATTTATTAAGCTCCTACTGTGTGTCAGATACTCTGCTAAGTGCTGGGGATACAAAGAAAGACACCCCCCCCGAAAAAAATAGTTGGGCAGCAAGTATAATGGGAAGAAAATTGGATCTAAAGTCAGAAAATCTGAGATCAAATCCTGGCTCTGTCAATTTAAGCCTCCATTGTAAAATAAGATCACATGATAATAGGATGGAGTTTTTAGAACTGGAAAAGACTTTGGAAGTCCCTGAGTCCAACCCTCTCATTTTATAGAAGGAGCAACAGGTCCTACTGAAGGGAAGGGACATTAGCAGCAACTCAGGGGCAGAGAGGGGCCTAGAAGCCAGGCGTCCTGACTCCCAGGCCAATGTTCTTTTCACCATACCCAGATTCCCCTCCTAGAGAGGCTGTTAAGGAAGAGAACTGAGGCCTCACTCTAGCGATTACTACAACAGCATGAGCTGGGACGTCCTGTTGATTTCTTTTCTAATGGATAGGGGATGCTCTCCCCAGAGCTGATCTGGCTGTTCCCAGAAGGCCTGCTTCAGGACGAGGCCCTTCATGCCTACCTCTTGAAAGCCCTGTCTTTCCCCCTCCCTCTCCCCAAGAGACCCCAGGAGACCCAACTTGATTTGGAGAACAATGGCCCCCTGCCCCCTCCCCCAATCCTCTCATTCAGTGATGTAGTGGGAAGCACGTGGGATTTGGAGCTAAGGGCACTAGGTCCCTGCTCTCCCATCTACACTTGTACAACTGAACAACTCATTTACTTTTTTCTCCTCCCTAAAATGAGACCATGAAAGATCTCAAGGACCCTCGTAGTGCTTAGGAAGATAGTGCTTAGAGCCGGAAGGGACCTGAGAGGTGGCCTGGTCCGGCTTCCTCATCTTACAGAAGAGGAAACTGAGGCTGAGAGAGGTGAATAGACATTGACAGCAAGCTCCTGGCAGAAGTCAGGCTAGGGCTTAGGTCTCCTATGTCTTCCAGCCTAGTGTTCTCTTCATCCCACCCAGAACCCTCAAGTATGCAGAGAGAAAACACCAGATTAAGTCTGAAGACCTGGGTTCGCATCCTGGCTCCACTCTTGTGTGACCCTGGGACAGGAGGCTTTAGCTCCCCGGAGCTCAGGCTCCTTATCTGTAAATTGGGCTGGGGCTGGGGAGGGAAGGGGGGGAGGGGCAGATGCCGTCTCCGGGCTTCTGGCTCTAAATCTACGAGGCTCTTGTCTTCCCCCTTTCCTTTCTCCAGTGCCAGGATTTTTACAGTACAGTAATTTTTCTCTCCTACCACTAGAGGGCAGGGCTGGCCCTTAGAACTCCACCGGCTCTTCAGCTTCTCATTCCAGCACCTTACTTAGTATTCACTCCTCCCCTGGGATTGATTTGTGTTCTCTCCAGAAGGTTGCCTCCCCCTGAAATGGGGAACTGCGGTTCCCGGCCTGTAGAATGGGGAGAAGTGGAGTGAGGGAGGCATGGGATGTGTCCCTGAGAACTCCAAAGTGAGTGTTGGACTGAGAGCAAAGGGTCCTTCTGGACCTCGTTACTAGTTCTGTGTGTAACCTGATGCAAATTACATCGCCTCTCTGGGCCTCAGTTTTATCTTCTCTAAAATGGGAGGGTTAGAATATGTACTTTAAGAAATCAGTCCCAGCTCTGACATTGTGTGTTCTAAGGGCCCTCCCAGCTCTGACGTCCTGTGTTCCAAATTTCCTCCCAGCCCTAACATTCTACATTCCAATATATGTTCTAAAGTTTCAGTTCTGACATTTTCTAAGCCCCTAATCTTTGTTCTCCCCCAGGGGGCCTATGGGAGATGGAGAGTCCACCAACCTGCTTGACTGTGGGCTCCGGGCCCATCCGTACCCTGCTGAGCCTGGAGGATGCTGTGTGGGCCAGTTGTGGGCACCAGGTCATTGTGCTGGATGCCACCACTTTGGAGACTCAGGTATCACCCCCTGTCTCCCGCTTCATCTCCTCTCTCCCTAAACTCTGGCTTGTGGGGCTGGTCAGCTTGCTTTTCTTCATCTCCCAGTCAGTGAGCAACAGCTGTGTCACAATTAATCTTTGTGTCTCCTTCCTCAGCAGCTTAGGGCCCTACACTGGCTAGGTGCATAATCACGGCTTAGTGATTCTGGAACCATTGGGTTCCAGCTCAGTGTCTGCTGTTCTACTTGGAGAAGGTGCTGGGCTTGGAGCCAGAGGCCTTGGGCTTCCATCTCGGCTCTGCTGTTTGTATTTTCCCATCCTTGACTCAGTTGTTTACTCTGTAAACTAAGGTTAGATGAGACAATTTGTGCAGCAACATTAATTAAGCACCTACCATGTGCAAAGCATTGTGGCAAGTCCGTCAGCCTCTTGCCTTTGCTAAGTGCCTATAATGGGCCTAAGCACTGGGGAGAAAAGACAAAGACAAACTTGGAATCTCCTGTAGGGATAAGACACATTCACAGCTAATATAGTTTTGGGTGGGGAGCTCGCACACAACTCAGACTGACGCGGCTCTAGGAAATAGGGGGAGGGCGAGGGTACTCACTGCTTGGGTAAATTCCGTAAATCGTTTGACCTGTTTCTGAGTTTTATTCCACAAAGGGAGGAGAGTGACTAGCAGATCCCTGGTTGGTGTTCCTTACCCCATACCTCAAGGCCTCCTTGGTTCTCTCCAGCCTTCTGGAGCCTGGCCAGGCCCTTTTTGGTGTTTGTCCAGTAGGAGGAGGTCCCTGGATGGAGGGCATCAGGCCGCCTTCCTCTGGTACGGCTCACAGCTATCCTGGAGCTGGGGGATGGGGCTTGACTTTTCAGGGGCTTCTTGGGCAGTTGTCCTCCCCATGTCTCCTAAGATGGTCTAGAGGGATTTGCGGACTATTGGGATCCTGTTGGTGTTATCAGGACAGCTCTGAAAGTAGAAGCAGCAGCAGGGCTGAGGGAGATAGGAAGGCTCAGAGAGTACTAGGAAAATCAGAAAAGGTCCTCTAGTTTTCTCCCCCTTGTACCTACCCACCATTTTATAGGTAAGAATAACAGAGAAGAGAAGTCACTTGCCTAAGGTCACTGAGGTAGCAGAGCTGAGATTCGAACTCAGGTCCTTGGACTCCCAGTGCAGGCTCTTTATGTGATATCATGTTGCCTCTTGAGAGGAAGTTTCTGAGCTTTATTCACCCTTATAACTCTCTCCCCTCAACTAAGATTTCAGACTTGCTTCTTTGTTATTTCCATGTTCAAGAGCAGATCCCAGGGAGGATTTCTGTCACCTCACCCATCACCCTCATTGTCTCCCTTTCTCCCCCAGCAGCTGAGAGCTTGTATTAGGAGACAGCATTGGTTCTCTCTTTCTCTCTCTCTCGCTCTGTCTCTCTCTCTCTCTCTCTCTCTCTCTCTCTCTCTCTCTCTCTCTCCCCCATCTCTCTCTCTCCCCATCTCTCTCTCTCTCCCCATCTCTCTCTCTCTCCCCATCTCTCTCTCTCTCTCTCTCTCTCTCTCTCTCTCTCTCTCTCTCTCTCTCTCTCTCTCTCTCTCTCTCTCTCTCTCTCTCTCTCTCTCTCTCTCTCTCTCTCTCTCTCTCTCTCTCTCTCTCTCTCTCTCTCCCTCCCTTCCTGTCCTTGGCAGGTAAGCAAAGGAGATGTTGCTTTTCCATGCACATATGTTCTAGGGCTGCTCTGCATCTGACACAGTTTCTTCACCTTTGACTTTTAGCATCTTTGAAATTTGCCTGTTCAAGGGGAACCCCTCCCCCCATTTAGAGCTATAGAATGTCAAAGAGGTTTTTTGAAGAGGAGAATGCCAAAGCTGCGAGGGCCCTTAGAACAGAGAGTGTCAGAGCTTGGAGGGCCTTTAGAACATAGAATGCCAGGTTTAGGAGGAGCTTTGGAACACAAGATGTCAGAGCTGGGAGGGCCCTTAGAACAGAGAATGTCAGAGCTGGGAGGGGCCTTAGAACAGAGAATGTCAGAATTGGGCCTTAGAACACAGAGTGTCAGAACTGGGAGGGGTCTTGGAGCACAGGATGCCATAGTTGGGACACTGTAGAATATCAGAGCTGGAAAGATCGTATATTTAAGTCTAGAAGAACATGGAGGTCATCCTGTCCAATCCCTGCATTTTAAGTGGAGCTCCTGAGGTGCTGAGAGAGAAGGCGCCTTGCCCGAGGACATGCAAGCATTGATGCCTACTGGAGACAGAATGTGGGCTGCCCAGAACAGTGCTGAGCTCTCCCCGTGGCGCCTCTTTAACATTCTACAGGCTTCCTTTGTCTTCTCTGCACACATTTAGTTAGCTTTAGGGATCAGGGATTTTTCTCCAAGTCTGATCTGGATCCCTCTTGTTGTATTTTGATGTGGGAGGGAGCATTGGTCCCCCTAAAGTCTGTCCCACCACTGGGCGTGAGGACAATGAAATAAGGGCTCTCTAAGCAGTCTTCCCAGGACAGGATGGATAGACAGCACCTGGCCTTCATTCTACTCTTGTCTTTCAAGCCCTGCACATCCTAAGGTGGATGTTTTTTTTTTTCCTCGGTGCTCCTTGCAGGATGCAAAAGGGAAAGATCACCCCGGGTTGGTATCCTGTTCCCCTCTGACCTCTCCCTTTCTCTCTCCTGCTCCCCTTCCCCTGCTTCCTACAGCCTGGCCCTGGCCCACATAGCCAGTCTCCTGAAAGGCTGGCTCCCGCCTGCCCGCCCGGGGCCAGAGTGCACAGCAGCCTCCAGCTTGTGGCTGTGATGATTTAAGATTAGTTCTGTGCTCGAAGCCCTTAAAAGGGGATCAATATGGCCTTTCACCTGCATTTTACACCATGCTGGAGCACTGTAGGGGGAGGGAGGGGCGGCAGGGCCTAGAGCAGCAGAAGCTCGAGCCCACAGCAGTCCAACAAAATTGAAAAGTTTCAGGGCCCAGTGAGATGCAGGCAGCGAGCCTTCGGCACACGCAATCATTTTTCCATTCTGTACTGTAACAAGGTGAATGCTATCCATATTTAATAAAGAGTCGCTCCTGCAGTTTGGAATGGAATTGAAATGGGGCCCAATTGACAGCCACTGAGGCTCTGGAAATGGTTGCTAATGATGGCCTGGGCCATCCTCTGTGCTGTGTCCTCCGGCCCTCCCCCTCTAGCTCTCTTCACTGCAAGGGGAGCAGGCAGGAGCCTTTTGGGGCAGGATGTCCATTGTGATTGTGTGTGTGTGTGTGTGTGTGTGTGTGTGTATGAGAGGGCAAGGCCAGAACATCTCTGTAAAATTTCACTACTGGACAAATAGCCAGACAATACAGGAAGACTTCTCTTCATAGGCAGCCCAGTGAATAGAGCGCGGGACGTGGAGTTGGGAAGATACAAATACTTAGTAGCTAGGGAACCCCTACCCCTTCTCTCAGTTTCTCATCTGTAAAATGGGGATAAAGCCCCTACCTCCTTAGGACTAAATCAGACAATATGTGTAAAGCACTTTGCAAAGCTTAAAAGGTCTGCATAGATGCTGGCTGTCATTAGGAGTCATGGCATTGGGAGATTGGAAGGGACCTCCACGATCATCTAATGCAATGAGTACCTGGAAGGGAATGTGCCCAAACCAGGACTTGCTCCCACTATTTGTGACATGTGCCAAACAGTCGTCCATCCCGGGCATCCATTTTAGGTGAGGGGGAGCCCACCCTCTCCAAGGCCCAGCCCACACCAGTGTTGGACAGCTCTCCCCCATAGGACGTCCATCCTAAACCTGTCTCTTTGCCTTCTCTCTGTCACTTCTCATCTGTCCTCTGGCGCTAGAGGAAGGAGAAGTCTTCTCCCTCTTCCATGGACAGCTCTTCAGAAACCAAAGATGGTGTCCCTCCCCTCAAGTCTTTCCATAACACTGAGATTCCTACTTCATCTCACCTCTCCCCGTACATCCCTGGCTCAAAGCCCTTCCCCACTCTGCTTGCTGTCTTCTGGACACTGTCTACCTTCCCTTGTGGTGTCCAGAACGAATTCTGCAGCTGCGGTCTGACCAGGGCAGAAGACCTGAGTTCAAGACCTAGTGCTTTCACTGTCTGGACTTGCATTTCCTCCCTTATTAAACGAGGGAGTTGGCTTGATCTCTCTTCTTGGACATGTGGTAGGCATGTGTCCCTGGGCAGAGCATTTTTAGAACCCTGTTTTCCTTGCCTAGAAAACGAGGACAAGGGCCCTCATACTAAATCTGCTCTGAGGAAAAGTCTTTCTTAGACAAAGGCTCTGAGACCATGTTGTAGTGAGGGGAAGAGGGGAGGGAGAGGGAGAATGGAGAGGGCCTGGTTGGCCTTTCCGAGCCTTCTTTTAAAGGTCAGGCCCCTCTTCGCATCTCTCTTTAGCCATAATGATTCAACTGTCCATACATTTGTCCAGAATCTTTGGATCTGTTTCTCTCCCTCCCTGGGTTGTCCCTTGCACTAATCCGTGAATTTCAGGTTGATGGAGGAAGAAGGTCTTCTTTTAACTTCTCCTAAACTTATGTGGTACATATTCCAATGTGTTGGCTTTCCCACTTTGCTGCCTTAAGATTTTCAGAGCTAAACCATACCCACTCCATCCTTGCAGCCAATTAATCTTTGTCTGCCTCAATTTCCTCACCTGTAAAATGGGGATAATAATAGCACCTACTTCCCAGGGTTGTTGTGAATGTCCAATGAGATCATATTTGTAACGCACTGAGCACAGTGCCTAGCACAGAGTAGGTGCTTAATAAATGCTGATTCCCTCTCTAACTCCAGCCCTTTCAGGGCTTGTGACCCTCCCGCCTAGTCTTTGGGAGGCTGAGATCACCACACCCCCTGGTGAGGCATCAGAGGATGGCTTTGGTCAGCCCCACTCAGAGGGGCATTGGTCAGATCTCCGCGTGAGCTGCCTGTGCCGTCCTCTCCTCTTGTCCCTGTCCGGCTGCTGCTCTGCTGATGCTGCAGACGTCGGCCACGTGTACGGGGATCGCTGCCCGGCTGGCGGCTC